ACAAAGTTTTAGCTTGTGCAGCTCGCGACACGGCTTTGGTTAAGCTCTCTGACCATCCAATCAGAGGACATGACAGTGCTGACATCATTGTAGGCCAGCTAGCTGGACCTGGGACCACCAACTCTCAATCTGATTGGTTAAAGCAACAGTTTCATTGCAATGCATTTTAAGATACAGACGCCTGCACTTTTGATTCTGAAGGCCTCGGGGCAGATTTCTTTGACCCTGGCAACACATGAAATATGATTGGATAAAAGCTCTAATATAGACATACACTGCTGGAAGCACCACAGCCCAGAGACACACTATGAAATGAAGAGAACAGACTGTTGGGAAAAAATATAAAAAGAATAATGGGAAAATATTACAACATAAGTGAGAGTTTAGGCCAGCAGAGAAGGCCTTGCTTGGCCCTATCAGCACACCACTTGTGGAAACCTTTTCTGCACTGTTGACAACACGTGTGTTTTTAACAATGAGAGATGCAGTTCACAATAAAAATGAAAATCCTCTGGTCACATTTACTGGAGGGTTTTGTTTGCTCTGAAAGACTGAGGCCATCCAGGTAACTCAGTCTGGGGGAAACAAACCAGCCAAAAACACAAGAAATGTAACCTTTTGTGCTCTAAAACTTGTGATCAGTGCACTCTGTGGAGCTCAGAGGAACACCTAGTTTTGTGTGGGAAGCATTTTCTTACCGTCAGTATAAAGCTCTCCAGTTAATCCTTAGACTTCTATTTATTTGAGTAATTTATATACTTGCATAGGATGATTTAACTTGACAGCAGTGTCACCAGATACTGTGTCACATTTTATCATAATCTATGCAGGTTTTCTGAATCACGTGTGCAACAGGCCTGACACTTAACAGTCTGTAACATTTAAACCGACTGCTTTTGCACTTGCCAAATGTCCATTATGATTTTTTGTAAACTATTTCAATTTAACTGATGTGCAGTTGCAAGAAGAACGAGTTGGACAGTTTGACAGCCGTACACTGTTTTCTTGTTTGAAATCCAATCAACACGCACTCATTTTGTTTTCCATAAAAGGTCCTAGAAGGCAGCCTGTCACTTGTAGTCAGCATGAACTCATTGGATGCACTCGTTGCAATTGCATCAATCCAGTCTTTCATATTTGATGACATTTTTTGTTTTGCACGGTGTCAAAAATTATGCTCTCACATTAGACGAGTTATCTGGGAAGCCTCCTTCTGGGGTTTATAGTGGATGCTATTGAACCTACAGAGGATCCATCCATCCATCATCTATACACCGCTTAATCCTCATTAGGGTCGTTGGGGGCTGGAGCCTATCCCAGCTGACTTAGGGCGAAGGCAGGGGACACCCTGGACAGGTCACCAGTCTACCTACAGAGGATGTCATTTCTAATTTGTAAATATTTCCTAACTGCTCTCTAACCTTTGTTGCACAGTTTAAGAGCTTGTACAGACATTGAATATGGGTGCCAAACAGAGAAATAACTGATGGGAGTCTAGTTTTAGCTTCTCTGTGTCAACCATGCTGCAAAATGAATCAAGGATGTAAAGTGAATTCTAAGGGATAAGCTCACAAGAAACATAATAATCAAGTAGTTTTCGAGTCAAACCTGCACATGGTGTTTCCTGCAGCAGTTGTCCAGTGCAGCTCAGCGATCCTTCATTCCGCTAAAAGCTTGCTGTGATTTAATATAAATGACAATCTAAATGGATTGAACTTGCTTGGCTTGTAGTTGTGATTTGAGTTCTGCCACTGTTCTCTGCAGTCTGTCCTGGCTGTCATTTACACTCCTTCACAGGTGTAGGCCATGATGCTTTCTGCTGTGCTAGGCCACGCCCACTTCCTCACAGGCGCAGGGAAGGAGCAAGATGCTAATTTAGTTTTTGTTTTGACTGCCTGCTGCACTGTAAGACTGACTTATGGAGGTAAATTTCCAGTACATTCAGAGTTCAGTTTGTAATGTAACGGGAATAGTGACACAATATGTCACGATTATCACAAAGATTAGAGGAACGCTAAAATCTTTTTTCTCCCTTTAATGAAGCCACGCCCCCTCAGGTGTTTCTGCTCTTCCTGTTGGAGGTTTCAGGTCACATGACTGCTGGTTGAGCATGTGGCTGGATTCACAGGTGTGTTAATGAGGCAGCAGTGAGAGCTTTTAGCTCATCGTCCAATATTCAGTCTCTGTTTGTCTGTTAGCTGAGCAGCTTCTCTCTGAGTGAGTACATCATTTACTTTCTTTTACTTTGTTCTTTTAAGGTAAACTTGCATCTCTTTCGTTAATTGTCATATAATTCTGATCTTTTTGAACTGAGGATGCATGGATATATCAAAAGTGGTTCATTGATTTCTACATTCAAGAAAATGTGACAACATTTGATTTGTAGGGAGACAATTCAACCACTTAAACTTACTCTGAAGAGAAGGAGAATAAATGCTATCAGATGGTTTTTGTTCCAACTACTACAGCAACGTTCATGTTGTTTAAAATGATTTTTGTGTGTGTTATATATTGAAACACTTGTGTTCTTGAGCTGCTTTTCTTGTGTTTTGGTACATGTAGTAGCTTTTAAGAAATTAATTAACTCAGCAAAAACAATTGTTGGTAATTAACTTTAGTATTTTGAACAGGAGTTAACTATCAAAAACAAATAAATTACCTTGCAAATCATAAACAAACATGAAAACTCCTCAACAGATTTGCTAGATTACATTTTATGATTTTTTTTCAACATATTTTCTCAACTGAAGGGTTTGATAGCCAGATTTCTCTACTAAATTTGAGTTCACTGTTTATTGGTGGGGCTGCAAGGTGGCTCGGTGGTTAGCACTGTTACCTCGCAGCTAGAAGTTCGCCGTCCCAGTGAGGACACCCGGGATCTTTCTTTTGTTTGCATGTTCTCCCTGTGCAGTGTGGGTTTGAAAAAATGAAATGGTTATGCGAATCTATCTATCTATCTATCTATCCATCTATCCATCTATCCAGATTTTTGTATTTCAGTGCTGGGAATAAACTGCTTGAGTTGCTTTTTAAAGTGTAGAATTAATGATCTGTGCAATATTTTGAGCTGAAACTTGAAGTATACAATCTGAGAACATGTGAGATGTTCATTAACTTGTTAAAATACATGATGAGACCTGTGAGACACTCTTTGTATATAAAGAAATTCAAACTTCCAGCAGCAACATGCACGTGTTGTCACAATGGAGTATGTTTACTTTTCTTTTACTGAAGTAAAGGAACTCCCACCACAGATTATATCACTTCCTATAGTGTCATTGCTGCATATTCTCATGTTTTACTCCGACATTGAACATAATCTGGTACCGTATGTATCCAGGTGGAGGCAGTGTGGCTCTTCAGCCGGAGAAGACGTGACTCAACAGAGCTGACCTGTGCTGACACGTGGTGCAGCGTCATTTCATTATCTCATTCACAAAAAAAAAAATAAAAAAAATAACCATTAACTCCTCTGCGGGGCACTTCTGAGGAATATCAACTAAATGAAAGGCTGTGAGAGCCATAAAAACAGCCCAGTCACATCGAGCTACTTAATTTGATGGACTATTTTATCTGGATACGCTGCATTTATTGTATCTCCATTAAAAGGTCATGTTGGCACTAAATCAAGAGGCTTAATGGCCTGAGCATTTGCCAACAGTGAGGGGAGAAAAATAGGTTTTTTACAGGCAGTAATTGTCATAAGACAAACAGCGACCACTGTTAAAATAATTGAAAGTAATAAAAAGGACTGGACGATAGAAAACGTTCAATAAATATAATAAATAAGACCCATTAATATGCATTTTAATCATATTGTACATTTTATTTGAATATTTAAAAGAAATTGAATTGGACGACCTTCCATTTATTTCTATTATCGACCTCTGCAGAGCAATTTGTCTCTAAAAAGTGGGATTTTTAAACTTTGCTGTCTATTTTCTGAATCAAAACAACATCTGAGCTGCACGTATCACAAAAATGAACCAGAAAGTTTCAGTAAATATAAAGATAAGACAATAAATATGTCATTTCTTCATATTTACTGATTTTTTTCCAGCAAATTCTGACTAAAAAATGGGATTTTTCAACTTTGGTGTCTGTTTTGTGAATCAATGAAGTGTCTGAGTTGCAGAAATCTCCAAATTAAACAAGAAGGTTTCAGTAAATGTGAAAAAAATACAACAAATTGTGAGATTCAATGTTATTTCTAGCAATTTCTGACTAAAAGGTAGGATTTCTCAGCTTTAGTGTCGGTTTAATGAATCCATCAAACCTCTGAGTTGCAAAAATCACCAAATAAACAAGAAAGTTTCAGTAAATGTGAAGAAATAACAATAAATTTCACAATTTGTTGTTAGAGTTTATGCTATATCTTGCAATTTATTATTAAAAATGAGGAATTTCTCAACCTCACTGTTAGTGAATCGATAAAAGCTGCAGAAATGCCAAAATTGAACAAGAAAGTTCCAGTAAAAATGAAGAAATTGTCTGAAATTTCACAATAAACCTGCCAACTGGAACATTCTGTGTTTGCAGATGCACCCAGCTGCCGGCCAACAAGTACAAAACTGGCATAATGAAACATCAAAGTTAATAATAAGATAATAAAGGAGCTCTCTGACAGAAATACATCAGATTAATGGGCGACTCTGAGGTTCAACGATCCCTTTTAAACAGATATTACAGACATAATTAGAACGCAGGAGGTTAGAAATAGAAAACGTGACAGTACATCTTTATTATGTCACGTTCTTGCAGCCTGGCAGTTTGATTTATAGAGACAGAATTTTATTATTTCCATCGCAGTATAATACAGAGAGAAACTCTTGGAGCCACTGATGTAACATCACAAACAAAGAGTCCCACAGACGCTTTATTTCCCAGAGGAGCGTCCAAGTGTTGTCTGAATATTAGGAAGGCGTGGCCACTAATCAAAGTGAGAGTTTCCAGGGAGCCAGTGCGCGTCCTGCTTCAGTTTTCGGTCACAGAAGCGGCTGAGGCATTCAGTGGGACCAGAGCTGCTGCTGCTGCTGCGCGTCGGACACGTTTGGATAAAAAAGACGCACCGGTTTTGGCGCATGTTTTCTGCCCGTTTTTTCTCCTCTCCTCGCGTCTCCACTCGGATGCTGGATGCAAGCCTCCTCAGCCGCCGTGGTGACACAAACGCACGTCTGACGGACAAACCATGGACAGTCTAGGCAGCCGCTGTAAGATCGTGGTGGTCGGGGACACGCAGTGTGGAAAGACGGCGCTGCTGCACGTTTTTGCCAAGGACTGCTATCCAGAGGTGGGTCTGACAGGAGCCTCAACTTGGTGTTTTTTTTTTTTCTTTTAGTCTCTAGAGGAGGAATTGATGAATAAATGAGAAGCAGTGGGGGTTGAAATTTAACTCAACTTCAGCAGCAGGTTCCATCCACCTGCATGGAAGCTCTGTTGTGCTTTAAAGATCTAAAATGACTTTTAAAGAACCTCCACCTGCCTTCATATTACATCTCCATATGTTTCCCGCCCCTGTGTGATGGATTGACTGCATCATCTCCAGTGTGATATTCTCCCATTCTCTTCATTAAACACCTGAAATAAATCTCCTTTCCCCCCTCCTTCCAGAACTACGTGCCAACAGTGTTTGAGAACTACACAGCCAGTTTTGAGATCGAGAAGCACCGGATTGAGCTGAATATGTGGGACACGTCAGGTAAGACAATTTCATCTGAACCTTCTCTGAGAGTCTGACATCAAATCAATCCGCCCTCCCAGCCCTGCCTGTCCCTGGCTGCGACCGTGGGAGGACTGCCTCCAACTCCCCTCATCCAACTTTTCTCAGCAGCAGTCATCTCTTTGACAAATTGCTTTGACCCAGCCAGCTTCACATGCTTCTTTTAGTTTTATTTTTTTTAAGCCTTGTTTTCCTTTAGCTGCAGGGCGTCTGCTGTTTACGATTGTTGCTAGAAAAACTTCGGTGCCAGCCTTGCGTCTCTCTCAGTGTCTTGTGTTTGCATTCCTGTCTGTGGAGTCCACCGTGGAGCTTCCCAGGCTCTGGCTCAGGGTCAGGAGAGGGGTGAGGAAAAGGGGGTGAGGGCCTGGATCGGTCAGGCAGGATGGGCCCTGGAGGGACGCTCACTGCTCTAATAGTGTCTTCATGAGATTCAGATGGATGCAGTGGTGTGAGCAGGCCAGATTTGTGTCTTTCCGTCCTCTTTTGGACCACGCTTTTAGACCTAAAGACGGCCAACTCTGGTATTAAGTTTCATTTCCGTTGCAGATTTTCATCTCGTAATCAGTTAAGGAATCGTTAATGAGAAGAGTAATGTTTCCAGAGTTTGCACAGCTGGCCACAGACGCCTCCTTCAGCCCTGAAAGAAATTCATTCACTGAGTTGTCGGATTCATTCATCATGGTTTCAACTGAGAGTTTTAGTGACTTGCAATTTTGCAAATGTGACTCCAGGGGCTTTCCAGCTCTGAGTAAAAATCTTTAGGCATTAAATATGTCTCACTTAAACATGCTGGCGTGCTGTGAATACACCAACACAGAAATCCTGATCCTCGGGTTACAGGTACAGATATATGTTTGAAATCATTGATTTAAAGTTGTAAATACAGTTGAAAAGTTGTTAAAATGTGATGCATTTTGCTTTCTACACTGTAAAAAATCCTGTAGAAAAACAAAACCATGAATCTGACAGCAAGGTGCCGGAAAAAAATAAAATCATAGTTTAAAATGGTGGAATATTGTAATGTTGAAAAACTGTGAAAGCGGTGAAAATAACAGCAAACATCTGTAAAATAGTTTTATTTTTTGTCTGACTTAATGCAGTAAAATAGTATAATTTTTCACTCACACATAATAAAAAAACGATTTACTATTAGGAAAAAAAATACAGATTTTTGATGTGGATGTTATTTACAATTTTGGACTGATTAGTTTTCCCCCCTGTTTTGTCAAATTACAAAAATTTGTGGCTATAAATGTGACGTTACAATAAAAACTTTTGTAAATTAGATTCCATTCGGAAAAAACAAAACACTAATGATCTGCTAAAAGATAAGTATTTAAACATTGCGACGCTGTAAAATTAGATAATTTTATTTCTCAACCTTAAGTGATTGTTATTTTACAACACTGGTGCTAAAAATGTAAAAAGAAAAAAATAGTTTTAAATCATTGTTTTACAATTATTAGCATTCTAATTATATTTAACGTTTGTTAAAATAAACAAAAACTTGCATGTTTATACAGATTTCAATACTGTAAAAAGTGTAATTTTGTGGTCAAACATTGTAAAAAACAAAAAAAAAGGACAGCTATTGATTTTCTGTGTGGGCATTATTTACTGTGTTGACCAGTGTTTTTATGGCTAAGATGCAAATTCAGCTTTTTTGTGATTTTACAAGTTTTTAATCTGTAATTTAACCAAACAGGAAAACAAAACTATTTGATATTTGTAGATTGTTAAAAAAAAATCCCGTGACAAACGGTTAGCGTAGCAGCTACTGGGGACATTGGTATAAAATCATTGTTGTTTTACAGAAAGGGATCCATGTCAGCCGTGTTGTGAAAGCAGAACGGGACTTTCTCTGAGAACAAATCGTCTTTGCTTTGGTGTTGTATGACTTTGTGTGAATAAAGTTGTTGTGGAGGCAGTCTGGGCTCCCAGGCAGCTTCACTGAGACTCTATCTGAGTCTTGTCGGTGCGGATGGATTTAATGCCTGGAGCTTCCCTCAGATTGAGCCTGTCACGCTCTGTCCTCCACATATCTGACCAGCGACAGTCTCAGCAGTTAAACGTGGGATCATCCCACTGGGAATTCTTTCTTTTACCATAAACATTCCCAAACCTAAAACCGTCCTCCGGAAGGGAGAATATGTTGGGAGATGTGAAAGAATGTTGTTTTTTCTTGGACCTCGTGTCGACCAGAGGAGTAAATCTGCTGTCAGTCAGGGGTCGGGGTACTCGGGGGGCCCGGAGCCACGACTTAGAAGAGTTCCTTATCTCTGAGCCCTAAGAGGCTAATGATGCAGTGGGAATGTTGTGCTTCTGTCCATCTTCTAAACCCCCGAAGCACCTTTTTGGCAGTGTGAGACTTTAATCTTCATCCAGGAGCCGCCCACCCCACAACAAACATGACGTCAGCCAACCCACAGGGCGAACGCACGAGCGTGTGTTTGTCTGAGGTCCTTGTGTGGCGCAGCATTATTCACTGATTCACAGCAAACACAGATGTTCCTGTTTTCGCTCAACAAGAAAAATAATTGGCACACACTTAAGGCTTTCATCTGAGGAAAATTGCATGTCTCCCATCGCTCCTCTTTTAGAATCTGATTCTTTCTTTTAATCGCTTCACGCCCTCTCCTCCTTCAGCTCCTCGTCTCCAGATCTGTTGTTTTTTTTTTTTTCTTTTTAAAAATCTTCTCTTTCATGTATCCAGGCGGCATTAGCACCATCACCGCGGTCACCCCGACGTTTATAATGAGACATTTCACACTTCAGTCAGTCGATTTCAACAGTATCACTGTGATCAGTGGATTTGCTGGTGCAGGTGAGACGAATGTACACAGAGCTAAACTTTGGAGTTCACTCCGCGGGTCACCGGCGAGGCGCCTCGACAGCGCTGACCTTTGAAGGAACAGAGATTTGAGAGATGATGCCGACAGAGCTTTTCTTTCTCTGTCCGTTTAGTCATGAACAAACCAAAAGAAGTCGCCGCGTGTGAGGCTTGCATCCGCACAAAATACATTTTCATTTCATAACTTCTGCTCAGTCCTCAGGAGCTTTAAGACCCCGAAAATAGAGACTTATGTAAATGATGCTGACCTCTTTTTATAATAGTTTGAAAACTCCAGGGTTGGTTTTTAGTTTGGAGGAGCAGAAACAGAGATTTTTGGGAACAAATGACGTTTGCTTTCTGATTGAACACTACATTCGTTCTCTAATTTAACACACAATCATGTGACCGGATGAAACCAAACACTTGACTTATTCTAGTTATTTCAACATAGATAAGTAACTATGGTGACAACTGCTCAGCACCGATGCCACACCGACACCAAAGTGCAGCAGTTCATATTCGGTTAGCTTTCCCTGTGCATTCTCTGACTGATACCTGAAATTACCAGCAGAGAAAACGGAGGAAAACTGTTTCTGAATTTCCTGAATTATGACGCAACCTTGTAATGAAACATCGAGAGGAAAGACTGATTCCGGAAATTGATTTTTATCCAAGTAAACATGTCAGGTGTGTTTTAACTCTTACATTCGTTTTAACAGTTCGGTAGTTTGCTGTAGGTTGGCATTAAGTGTAAACGGAGCTTAAGTGTGGTATGTGTTCCTCTCAGTAGTTCTACAGATCTACTAAAGTTTCTGACTTGAGGTAAAGATGTGTAATTTTCATACAAAACATTTAATTGACTTACAATTTTTAAAAAGCGCCATCTGTTTTGCTCGTCCTCCACCAGTGTTTGGTCTCAAAGGGCGATGGGACTACCTGGTGTTGTTGACCTTGATGTCTTTTCTACCAGCTCTTGTGAAGTTGAGGAAAATAATCTCTGGTATTACTTTCTCGTAATTGCTTCTCTTCTAATGTAGTGTTTTCTATGCAACGGTAATGTGTGAGGTGAATTTTGTAATCGGTAACCAACACACAATCCCTTTAAAATTAATGATTGCTATGAGGAGAGACTGTACAAACAGATTCTTACTCACTGAGACCCTTTATTGTTCATCGTTAAAACAGCTGTAATTGAAGTAGATCTTGACAGACTGTGGAGTCACCTTTAGTCCATTGATGGAGCTCAAACACAATGCAAAGTTCTCCAGGTATCCTGTGCTATGTTGGCCCACCTCAGTGCAATCTGTATCCTGTAGAAAGAGCAAAATCACTGGCAGCATTTCAATACCCATCATGGAGCCCTCTAGTGTTTCTCTGTGTTTAATATGGGGGGCAACGCACACCGTCTTGAGATTAATGTGAACCTATTGTCGTATGATTGGAACCACTGTCCGCCTTGAGTCCACATTGATCACGTTGAAACCATGAACTGACCTTAAGCAGCCGACCCCCTGCTTCATGTTAACACATCATACCCAGTGGATGTGAATGCTCATGTGGCCTTTTTAGGTGTGTTGGTACGAATGAACAAGATTCCTGAAAATACTCATCTGGACCGAGATTGTTTTTCTTTTTAAAATGCTTTTAAAAAAACGTATCAGTGTGGATGTAGTTGAAGTATCTCGCCAAGCTTCTGTCGCCCCTCATGACACTACAAAATAAAAAAAAAAACACTTTGCTGGTCGTTGGTAAATCTGTGCGACAGCTTATTTATAGCATAGCTCATTTTGAACGGTTCAGTGGAGTTCTTCTTGACCGTATCAGAAAAATCTACATTCCACACAGTGAGAAAGGAGCTTCCCCAGCATGAAATCTCTCTTTATAAGGGCCTGAGGTCTCTATTTTTGACCCTACTTACGTAACGCGCACAGGAGCTAAACTGGAAGCATCTTTAACCCATAAATACTTGAGCAGTTCTAACTCAGAAAAGCAGAGCACATAAGTAATTGATTTGCTGATTGAACACGTAAATAAATGATAAGCGACAAGCTCACAACAGAGTTTTGTTTTCACACTTCTAGCACTTGCTGTTTTCAGATGGACATTTTCATTCTGACCTGACATTTTCATCAATCAATCGTCCACT